CTGACGACGTGGCCCGTCAACTATACACACGCCTGCATAACTCTTCCCCATCGGGCCTGCAAATATCAAACTGCATAGATAGGAATGACCGCAACAATGCGGGCCCATAGCATAAATATTCGACATTTGTTCCCGACCACAATTGCATGTATCGCTCGCCAAGACTGCGCCGAGGCTAATGACCAGCTGCGTCGAAAATTCGAAAAAAAACTCCCTCGCCCGAGCATCTTGCATCCTTATCCTTAGAACACTGACATTGAAGATCCAAGTTCCCACCTGGGACTCCACCCCCTTTTTCCTAAAATCCTTGGCGCACCCCCTCTCTCGCTACTTCCTGACCCGCTACCCACTCTAATCTGGAAGTCGCACTGGGCGTGAGATTGGGTGTCACAACATCATATCATCACGTTGCACAATTGCCACAACAAGTGTTGGATTTTAAAACAGTGACTCTCAATTTGTGCTAATAGACATGAGCCATGATAGTATGTTAAAACCTCCAGTTCACACGAGCCTTAAGTTGACAAAGCTACCTTTCAAGCCCTGCGAGTTTGCAACTGCGCATTTTCAAAGTGGCCTGCCGATTTTGCTATCGGCCCAGGCCTGAAGCGGAACAGCCTTACTGCGTATGCCGACAATGCCACAACTTTCACTCGTGCGAAATGGTGGCTTAAGTATTTCGAGGGGAACTAAACAACTCACATCATATCATCAAAGTCAACAGAAAGCTGGACATGATGTCCAACAATTTCTCCTCCCTGGCAATAGATTGGAGCCCTTTGCTCGGGGGGTAGTGTTGGGGGATGCTCATATCACCTTCAGCAGTGCAACCCAACGGAGTTAAAATAAATAAATAAATAAATAAGTAGCATGAAAGGCAGAGCTCCGTAACTGCCATAATCAGAGTTAGAGCTTAAACCACCAGGACATATCCCCGCTTGGAAAACAAATATGTGGCTTGTATACGGTTCGCAACTTTTCGGGGTTGGGGTACCGAACCAAACGGTTGGTGGAGCCAGCCAAAATGAGGCTCGCGCCATTTTGTTTTTTTTTTGGCGCGCAGGGCATTTTCATGCTTGGGCTCAATGTGGCTTGAGCAAATTATGACGGGAATCTCTCTTTGCGCCAGTGTCACCAGTAACCCAGGAAATATACTATGCTCTCGTCCTTTTTTCTAATTATACCACAAGCTTAGTGCGTTGTAGGGTAATTTTCACTGTAGAGGGGAACAAACTCAACAAAGACTACGTTTTTGATCAATGAGCCTACCTACAACTAATGTGATACGCAATTGACAAAAAGATTTGCTTCAACTGCCAATGGGTGGCCCAAGGGTCCAAATAAACCCTGCCTGTTAAGAAGTTGTAATTGTCTTTTCCTATGCATCTCCCTGTTCCTCTCCCTTCTTATTGGCCGAGACGATGCAACCAGGATTGATACATGGAGCGTGGCTAGGTCTCCCACGCCAGGGTCCACGTATGCGGACCGTAGACACCCTCTTTCTCTCCCACATGCACTTTTTCAATAAATTTTGTAACCGCAACCTTATCTCTCTCTAATTTAAACTTTTGGAGCTAGAGCGGTCAAGAGGATTGACTAACGAGTATCGATTTATTTGAGGTGAGTTATAGAGTTGGGCAGTCCAACGGGCTGGTGGCAATTGTGTAGGGTTGATATGTGGCCGCACGGCCTAGGCACAAGCGAACTTGGTTTGCGTAATTGGGCTAAGTGGGGTGACGACTTTGGGTAGGTGCATGCGAGGCGATGGACTGTCTGCACCAATTTAGGAGTGGGTGGTAAAAAGAGATGGAGAGAGAGTGGTGGTGATTTGGTTGTACTTTAGGATTTTTATGAGTTCGTATTCGACAATTTCTCTGAATTTGATCTTCCTCCAAGCTTGTTTTTTTTACATCTCCTAAATCACTTTATTCTTGCCCTCTTCCTAGCCTCCTCGATCCAATTTTGTATTTACCACGAGAATGCATGAATTGTGAATCTTTTTTTTTCTTGCAGTCGAATTACTGTCAATGGTTTTGTTTGAGTCTCATTAGCGTGATCTATTGGATTTTTGCGAATGCTTAGGGTTTTGGGACTAAATCTTGTTCGGGGCTCCAATCAAGGAAGTAGATCGTGTCAAGTATGGCATACGTAATTATCTTATGAATAAACAGTCTGCATTGTGTGAGCCTTTCAGCTAAGTAACTTTTTGATTGAACCACCTGCTTTTGTTGTTTTCTCGTTTTTGATAAAGGTGCCTCTGATTAGTGTTGGTCAGATGATGGGATTGGGGTCGGTATTGGGCGCGAGCATGAGGTATGAAGTTTAGTACTCCATTTATGTTATCGAGCGTTTTTATTGCAGGTTCATCCACCCACAAATTTATAAATCGGATTCGTCCCCCTTCCTGTACATAATAGGCAGAGAGCGGGTTTGCGAGTGGGGCATTTCTCACACCCTCCAGTATGTGAGTAGTTCCTATCAGCGCCCACACTCGAATCATTATCAAACATTCAACCAGTATGGGCCCATCCTCATTGAGACTGACTTTCCTCCCTTTTTCAACCTCCTTTCTTATCACGAAGTAATCATCGTTTCATAGCTTACACTTGGGATGCGGTGACCTTACATCGTGTGTTCTTAGTGCGAGTGAGAATAGGTTTACCGCGAGCTTGGTTTCCCCTACCAGGGTCGCAGTGAGGGAAAACTCCTTGACAAAAGCTTTCGGTTTAAACCTTCCAAGTGGGATTCAAAACTTTGCAAGCCTCGTAGGTGCCACGTGGCAGAATAGCGCGACCCATATTTTCTCACTGACATCCATTGGCCTGGGAAAACCCGGAGTTGCCACCTACCCTGGTTTAGTCCCTTTGATTATCGGACCGCTCACCATAGTCGCTTTTTGCATTGATTCTTGTCCTTGGAATCTCGACATCGAAGATCTCAGTTCCGACCTGGGACTCCAACCCCCCCTTTCATAAAATCCTTGGCACACCCCCTATCTTGCACTTATGGGCCTACTCCCACTCTGATCATGAAGTCGTGCTGAGTGTAAGGTTGGGCGTCAAACTGTTTTGTTGGATATCGATCCAGGCAAAACGGGTTGCATGTGAGGCTCATTTTGCATGGATGGATATCCAGCAAAATGACGCCGCGGTACTTCCTGGAAGTTTCGGCCGCGTGCAAGCAGCGACTTTGTCTGGGAAACGTATTGCTGATTTAAATAGGGCACAAATGCACTTTTCCTTTCCCCCCCTTCTCTCTCTCTCTCTCCATCTCTAACTCCAACATCACTTCTCTTCTTCATTTTCTCATCGCTTCATCTCTATTGTACGTACACCTACCAAGGAACACCCGGGGCCAAGCCCCACTAACAGTTGTTTGGTCTTGTTTTGGATTCGTGCTCATGTCTGTCCAGGAACACCCGGTAGGCCCGACCCGCGAAACTTGCGTCGAGGAAACCGTGGTGAGGCTGTTATTTTCTTTTTTAGACTTTTTATTAACGAGATAATTTATGAAATACCTCTATAAGCTGATATAGATGTGGAAATGCCCCTAAAAGATGTGGGCAGAGCGGAATGTCCTTTTGGGCCTAATTCTTTGTGTTTTGCCCCTGTTAGGCCCGTGTGCAACTTTTCAATCTAGACTTGGGCCTGCACCTCGTCTTACCCGGTTTGCCCTCCATACCGGGGGGGCAACTTTGCACAATACCCAGGCCCATAGGCGCGACAGTTGCCTGTGTGATTCAAACTTTTGAAGTAGTTCGAAGTATCACACTGTGTTCTGCAGCTCGGACACCCTCCTTCAAAGCCACTCCTTCAAAGTCTCTCTCTCTCTCTCTCTCTCTCTCTCTCTCTCTCTCTCTCTCTCTCTCTCTCTCTCACAGCTCAACTGATAAAACGACAGTGCCTTCCCCCCGAATAGAAAGCATGGCCATTATCTGTGGGTCTAGACAGAAAGTTGCACCAAAAAATTACATCCATAATGGCCGTGCGTTCCTTTGGAGGCAATATCCCGTTTGTAATCTCCACTCCTTCAAAGTCTCTCTCTCTCTCTCTCTCTCAGCGCAACTCGTAGAACAACAGCGCCTTCCCCCTGAATAGAACACACATCCATTATCTGCGTATCTAGACCAAAGCTGCTCCAAAAAGCCATAATGACCATGCCTTCTCTTAGACTCATGTTTTTTTCGGAGGCAATGGGCAGGGGCCAAAACGCAAAGATGACCTGGGCCGTAAAATGAAAATAAATAGGGCCCTGGGAAAGGTTGGCGAATACCAGGACATTTTGCAGAGATGGACAGTACCCGGTAGGGGTATTTTGCAAAGATGGCAGGTCCAACCGACGCCAGGGGCATTTTGCAGTACATTTTTTTGTGTCAGAGGGGCATTTTGGAATATACCTGAACTTATAGGGGGTATTTCACAAAGTATCTCTTTATTAAATTCTCCTAAGCCGGCACCTATGTCTGGGTGTAGGACCTTGGTACTAGATTCCATGCCAATAGTATGTCACTCATGTCACAGTGTACTGAGATTCTAAACTAAGCCCCCGCTAGTGGGACTTGACCCTGGGGTTCAAACTCATCTCTTCATTTCGACCATTCACGGGTGTACCAATTTATGTAGGCCCACTAAATTGGAACCATCCAGAGAAGATCACCATGGCCTCTGCACAACGAGATGGCACCACCCACAAATCGAGAAATGGTCTCTCCACCGTCCACCTCCCGCCCCCGGCCCCCCCGATCCCCCTGCCCCCGCTCCCCGTCCCCCGCTCCCCGTCCCCCGCCCCCCGCTTCCGGCGCCCGACCCCCCCCCCCCCCCCCCCCCCCCCCCGGCCTTCCGGCGCCCGACCCCCGGCCCCCCGGCCCGCCGGCCCCCCGGCCCCCGCGCGGCCTCCCCGGTCCCCCTCGCTCGTCCCATCAGGCATCAGGCTGCACTTACTGCGCTTTTTTTTTTTTATAGAGGCGTCCCTACCATGGATTAGGACTAGCGAGGCAAAGGGGAGAGGGGAGAGGGAGAGGTTTGTTCAGGTTTGTTCTGAGGTTCGGGATAGGCCGGGATTGGGTCGACGGAGATCAAGGAGGAGGGGACGTCGCAGGAGGGAGTGTGTGCACGCGTCGCCGGTGACGGCAGCCAACCACCATCGCCTGCCAGCTCAAGGTGAGTTCCCCTGTTAAGCTGGAGTGAGTGGCTACCGAGGTCAGGGAGGAGAAGAAGGGCAGAGAAGAGCGAAGGACGATGGCTATGGCGTCGACGACGACGCTCTCCGCCCATCGTCTTCACTGTGACAGCGGATCGTCATGGTGTTGCACTCTCGTCTCGTCTGTGGGAGGTGTGGGAGGTGTAGGTGGTGTTGGAGGTGATGACGCTTCTCCTCGTGTTCGCGACTGCTTGAGTAGCTATGGCATCCAGGCCAAGACGGTATCCCGACAATCTCGTCGTCGTCGGCAGATCGGACGGCCGTCCTCCGCCGCCGGTCGCGCTCCTGTGGCGATCGACCGGTCGGGATGTGTCGGGACGCTTGGGGGGGGGTTGTCAGCTGATCGCGGGGCCGCGATCCCGACCAGCTGTCGTCGCGGGGACCAACACCGACCCCTCGCATCTTCGGAAACGTGGCGGTCGATAAGTCGGGATGTGTCGGGACGCGTGGGGTTTTGTCAGCTGATTGCCGGGCCGGGATCCCGACCAGCTTGTGGACGTCGTCCTTGGGAGCAGCTAGCGACACGTGGGGTTGCTGTTGTGGCGTGTTCTGCTGTCCACGTGGGTTTCCATTTTTTTCTCTTTTTGTTTTGTTTTGTTTCGTTGTTCTCATCTTTTTTTTTTTTTTTTTTAATTTGGTGTGTGTCTGTGTCGTACGTCGTCAGGGCCGTTTGTTATGACGGGAATGCTCCGTGACCGGATGTACCTGGATGCGAAGGCCGCCAGGTACATGGTCTGTGCCTAATTGACCGCACGTGCGATTGCATCGTGGCGTATACTGATGTTCTTTCTGTCTGTCTCTTTTTCTTCCTTTCAATGAATGGCCTTAAGATATTATCAGCCAACTAACAAGCGGGAACGAAATGAAGATCCTCAACAGCCTAGGTGACCTACAATTAACATCCTTCTCCCCACCCCTCAGAGGGTTATAAGTTGCCGGGCAGTCAGTCGGTGATGCTTAACCACAACCGGGGTTAAGGTGGATTTGTATCTCTTACAGTGTAATTAATCATAAGGTTAGGGGATTGTGCTGCAGACTGGGTTTTGAGAGGGTTCAGCCTCCTGATGAGTCGGCGACGAAACTCCGACGGAACAGTTTGTCACAGCCCCTAGTTTGTTGTCCTATTCTCCCTCTCTGCGGACGGTTTACCGGGCAGCTCTGTTTTTTTTTGTTTTTTTTTTTGGGAAGCATTAACTTTATTAAAACAGCAATAAATCGAGGGCGGGGACCTCACAATTCTGGGCAGCTCTGTTTGACGATCCTGTCATTTGGCCTGTGAAGGAGGGGCGGGGTGCTTGCATGTGGGACTTGTCATCTAGGATCCGTTTTTGGTGCTATTGCTTGTTGCCCCCTGTTTTGTTGTATTTGGCTGTTCCTTTCCTCTTTTCTTTGCCTCTTTGCCCTTTCGCTGTGTGCAAGTGGGTCGATATGACACACGGGGGTGGGGGCAGCCGCCGCTCAACCTACATCCACGTGGGCGGCCTTGTACGCAAGAGGTTCTGAACAAGGGGAGTTGTAAGAGAGAAGATAAAAAAAACGAATTATTTTTTATTTTTCCTTGTTTTCTTCTGTTTTTTTTTAGCCTTGGCGCTCTGACATTCATCTTACAATATATATCGTCACAAACAGAACTGCCCGGTAAACCGTAGGCAGAGAGAGAGAAGAGGACAACAAACGAGGGGCTGTGACAAACTGTTTCGTCGGAGTTTCACCGACTCATCAGGAGGCTGAACCCTCAACAGTCTGCGGAATCCCCTCACTGATTACACTGTAAATGATAGTCTACGTTAACCAAAATCAAAGTAGACTATCACCCACCCACACCAGATGGAAAACTTTACAGACTGTCGGTTCACACCCCATCACAAGCCAGCAAAACATCCACGAAACAAAGAAAGGTCTGTCACAGCCAAAAAATACACTATATATTGGTCATTTAAAAGGAATTGAATTGAATTGAATTGAATTGAATTGAATCGAATCGAATCGAATCGATTTCATACTTCCACGAGCCGATCCCAAGAATCGAACACTTGACCTTCCACATGGAAGTTGCACGCCCAATCAAACGGCTATGGCCGACACTCCCCCCCCTTTCAACACGCTATGGCCGACACTTGCTCACAAACTCGCTCAACATTTTATATATATATAGTTTTTTGTGGTATGATGATATTGCATGGAATGACGCGTTCAATCAACAAACTCAGCACGCACAGAATCTCACAAACTCGCTCAACATTTTTTTTTTCTTTTTTTGTGGTATGATGATATTGCAAGGAATGACGCGTTCAATCAACAAACTCAGCACACACAGAATTCTACGCGTGCGTTGCGTTCCGACAGCTTGCCCTACGGTCCTCATTAGGAGGCTCTGTCGACATCCAGCCTCTATGACAACCTGCACTTTTTTTTTCTTTTTTTCTTTCCCCAAAAAAAGGTGGCTCTCCACTCTCCACACGCTTGGCTTCTGGCTTCCACCGCACATCTTACCACAAACGGCGCACAGAGGGCAGTCCTGGCCGTGCCCCCTATATATACGTGTAAACGTCGGGCACCAATGTACCAATAATGAGCGTCTTAAGTGTCGACCGCTCGCTTGGTAAGATGTGTGGTAGAAGGTAGAAGGCAGAAGGCAGGTGTGTGGAGAGTGGAGAGCCGCAGCATCTCTAGGGCATCACTCCCTTGGGGCGCCATTTTGGGAGGAGGAGGTGATGATGATGCCGTTGGGAGGGCATTTTGGGAGAATGAGAGGGTCTGGTCTCGGTGCAATGCATACTAAATGCTCTCGGTATACCTTTCTCGGGCTTTTGGCCTAAACTAGATCAAGTGCATTGTATCTGTTCTGATCAGTTTAATATCTGATCCGACCACCAAAAAAAAAAAGGAAAAAAAAAAGAAAAAAAGAAAAAAAAAGAAAAGAAAAAGCTCTTGCTGCACACGCCTCCACCCAGACCAATGACAGTGCTTCCCGCCCACAGTGCTCCCGATGTGCTTGCCCGTCTGGTGCTCTCTTCTATGGGCATGTGCCCATCCACGTGTCTTCACGCGTGTTTTTTTGTTTTTTTGTTATGTTCTGTTTTGTTTGTTTGTTTGTTTGTTTGTTTGTTTGTTTGTTTGTTTGTTTGTTTGTTTGTTTTTTGGGTCCCTCGGGAAGTCCGTTAAAATTGGAACGATACAGAGAAGATTAGCATGGTCTCGTAACTTACCCCTTTTATATTCGATTTTTTTGGTAATATGAACTTATATCCGTTATGTTCTGGATAAAGGAGCATTAATAAGCAATAATTAAAGATTTTGTTTTACTATATCCATGATTGTTTTGCGAAAATAATTAAAGAATTGGGATTTCTCTCTCATTCTTTTTTTTTTTGTTTTTTTGTTTTTTTATCTCCCCTTTTGGTTTCACAATTTTTACTCATCAATCAAGTTCCGTCATCTGGATTTGAACACGGGTCTGTAGGTTCGACCGTTCATGGGTGTACCCACTGAGCTAGGCTCTTGGGTTCTCATTCATTTTTGCTCCTTACCGGTATTTGTTTGTTTGTTTGTTTGTTTGTTTGTTGTCGTTTGTTTTGTTATTCTTTTTGCGGAAATAATTGAAGAATTGGGATTTCTCTCTCATTAATTTTTGCTCCTTACCGGTATTTGTCTGTTTGTTTGTTTGTTCGTTTGTTTGTTTATTTGTTGTCGTTTGTTTTGTTATTCTTTTTCAATTTTTATTACTAAATTTGTAGGTTCTAACATCGAGCATGCGTTTTCCTTGAGCAGGATAGGAGCAGCGTCATTGCTAGGGCATCATCACCTCCTCCTCCCAAAATGGCGCCCCAAGGGAGTGAGGCCGTGGAAGACAATCCTGGACTTTGTGAGAATCCTGACGAGACAACACAGGACTACATCATGCAACAAACGGTGGGTAGGAGAGAGAGAGTGGGTGGTGTTCTCTCTTGGCCGTCCGTCCGTCATGACTTACGGGCGTTGTGATGATTGACCTTATCGAAAACTGTATGGAACTCTGTTGTGAAACTATATGGTTGGAACTACAGTGAACTGTATGAAACTGACGGCATGGAACTGGGTGGAACTGGGTGGAACTGGGTCAGATTGAACGGAACTGTATGGAACTGGTGCACATTGGAAGGATGTTATGGAAATAGTATGGAACAGGGTCACATTGAATGGAACTGACAGTGTGTGGAATTGGCTCACATTGAATGGAACTGTATATGGAACTGGTTCACATTGAATGGAACTGTATATGGAACTGGTTCAGAATGGTTCACATTGAATGGAACTGTATGGAAC